AGCATCCCTGGCTCTGGCAGGGAGAATGAGATTTACTTGAAAGCCTTCTTCTGTGGTCAGGAGGTAGGAGGAATTGGTGGGGTATGGGCTATGAAAGCCTGGCCTAAACAGCATGCCTTTGTGTGAGTACTGTCAAGGCCACCACTAACCATGTCCCCAGGTGCCACATCCACACAACTGTTAAATCCTTCCAGGGATGGTGACACCACCCCTGCCCTGGGCAGCCTGTGCCAGGGCTGGGCAACCCTTTTGTGGAAGAAATATTTCCAAACAACCAAACTAGACCCTCCCTAACACATTATGAAGTCATTTCCTTGCTGTGTCTCAGGTTTGAGACTTCAAACTTGGGCTCTCTTCTCCCACACTGACTGTGCCCCTCGTTGAGGAGAAGGTTTTGGTTTTATTACTTGGCTTGTTCTCTTGTTCTGTTCCCTCTTTCCAGCCCTAAGAGTTAAAACACCCCTAAATACTTTGGGCAGCTGGATAGTTGATGTCCTAGAGAGGGTTGTGGGGCAGATGCAGTCTTGGGTAAAATTAGTCCATGGGCCTGTGAATCCATGGGTCTAATTCCTCGATGGAATTAGGATGCTCAAGGTGGTTGCTCAAGGTCAACCTGCTTGTATGCCTGTACCCTCTGAGATAACACATTCATCTCTGAACATCCTCTTACCATGTGGGTTGTGTAGGTGCAAGGGAGAAAAGGTGTGAGGGTCTCTGGGACTTGTTGGTGGCCACATGCATTGAGGTTGCTCCTGTGTTTGGGGAGATCAGCCCCTGATATCCTCCTCTTGTCTTGCAGGTGGCGCCTAGGAAGCATCAGGACCTACAACCCAGAGCAGATCATGCTCAGTGCTGCTGTCCGACGGTCCAGCCGGGACGTCAAGATCATGAAGGAGAAGCTGATCTTCTCAGGTATGGATGGGGCTGGTGAGTCTGAGGCCTTTGCTCCATCCCTCAGCTGTCACCCTGCTGATGGAGGAGGTGGTCTTGATTCAGGTGTCATTTCCTGATGGTGGGAAAGGGTAACTAGGCTGACCTTGCTGCACTGAACTTGTTGGATATGGTCATGGTTCATCCATGGTAGGGGAGTTGGAACTAGATGATCTTTAAGGTCCCTTTCAATGCATGATTCCTTGATCTGTCCCAAGCTGGTTCAGGTCTGAGCACTGATTTGCTCAGAAATCCTTCTTTAACTTCCTGAGTTATCCCATGAGGTTCTCTTGTACTGTCCACTCTCAGTATGTCAAAAGCCATAAATCCCATTAGAATCATGCCATAAGTGACCACAAATAGTGGTGATGAGTTTGGAGTAGACCTGGAATTCAATGGCACTAGAAGTTGAGTGGTTCCTGATATCCTTGTGCTCTTCTCAGGGTTTGTTTCTGTAGGAACACACTGGCAATGTGTCCATCACACCCCACTCCTAAGAAAGATCTCAGAAATGTGTACAAAGAGGGAAACATTTTGCTTTAAAAGATTAAAATTGTTGCCTGAAACTGCAAAAACTCACTTTTGAAGGAATGTGAGTACAATTCTCCTTGCCCCTTGAGCTTAAATATGGGTCTTCTTTCTTGGTATTCAGGGGCTGGAGACCTTCAGGAGGGATCAGTGTTTAGCACACTGGGTGCAGACACAGCAAGGGGACAACTCTTGCTTCAAAGAGCTTATTGTGTGAAATGCCAACCTGACTCTGCCCTCTAAAGCTGGTGATAATCAGGTGTAAATCCAGGGAACGCAGAGAGGGAAAGCAGTTGGTCACAGGCAAATTGAGCCTCCTCAACATGTTCTAGATATAAATATCCTTAGAGGTAGGGGATATGAATTGGAGTTTTGTGCCTCTGAAACAGCTGTTCTTGCTTAGGATGGGTGTTTACCATTAAAATATTGGTGGTTGCACATTTTTCCCAGTGAAACCAGTGGCTAGAGGAGTCTTCCAGAATGGCCATTTGGATAGAGGTTAGGTCCAGATACTCTGCACCCTTTTCCCACAGGTGACTTGCTCAACCTGTGATATATCATGTGTGTGAGGGATCCAGCTTTGCCTCTGATGGTTTTAGGAAAAGAGAAGGTTGTGTGGAGTCCTCACAGCAACCTTCCAGTACCTGAAGGGGCTACAGGAAAGCTGGAGAAGGGACTCTGTTAGGAACTGGAGTGATAGAACAAGGAGTATGTGGGGATAGATTGAAAGAGGGGAGATTTAGATTAGATATGAGGAAGAAATTCTTTCCTGTGAGGGTGGTGAGATACTGGTACAGGTTGCCCAGGGAGGCTGTGGCTGCCCCAGTCCTGGCAGTGTTCCAAGCCAGGTTGGATAAAGCCTTGAGCAACCTGCTCTGGTGGGAGGTGTCCCTGCCCAGGGCAGGGAGTTGGGGCTGGATGATCTGTAAGGTCCATTCCAACCCCTTAACATGATATTATGCTAGTCTGACAACACCACCTCTGCTTAGGCAGAGGCCCAGTCATATTAACATGAGTTAAGGATTGTGAAGGTTTGAAATGTAGAGGTGTGCTCCTAACCAGAGGTAATCCTGTTGTGAACTGGTTATAAATGGGTGCAGTGTTACTAAATCCCTGCAGGATCAGCTGGATCCCATGTGCTGGAACTGCCTGGCTGCTCAGTGCCTTAGTTTCCCCATCCGTGGGGAATGCTCCTGTGACTTACACCCCTATGATGATACCCCTATTTTCTCTACCCTTCCCAGAGATCAACAACGGAGTGGAGACCACGGATGAGCTGTCCTTCTGCTCTGAGAATGGCTATGCCAATGAGATGGTGACCCCCACAGACCATCGGGACACCAAGCTGCGGCTGAACTGAGGGGCTCTGCTCCACCCCCATGTTTGCTCCAGCAGTGAGAGCCGTGCTCTCCTGCTTGCTGTGGGATGGGAACCCTTGAGGAGCTGCTGGTCAGGCAGAGACCCCTTCCCATACCCCATCACTAGCTGCTCCACCTCCCTGGTTGTGAGGTTTGGGGAATTATTTTTGTAAATATGTAGAAAATCTGATATTTTTTTGTCTTTTTTTTTTTTTTTTTTTTTTTTTTTTGAGTGTAATTTTTCCAGGGCATGAGTGGAAATATTGTGTTCATTAAATCCTCAACCTTATGGCTGAAGTTATTTGAATCTTGATGTGAGAGCCTGAGTCCCCTTGGGGGGGTTCTGGGTACAACACGTTGGACGTGGCTCCCCTGTCTCCCCCTTGCCCCACTCCAGTCCTTCCCTTCCTTGGTGCAGCGACTGTGTAGCTGAATGTTGTGATGTTCTTGTGAAGTGTCGATTTTGTTAGGGGTTTTTTTTGTTTCTCCCTCAGTCCCCTTTTCCTGGGCAATGAAATTGGAGCTCTAATGCAACAGGAGGCTGTTGGGAGGAGAGAAGCTTTTCTAGAAGAGGAGA